AAACGTAGCAGAGGCACCTATACCCAGAGCCACCTTGCCAGCTCCAGAGGTAATTTTTAAAAATAGAATGTAGCCAAACATGGTACTCAGCAGTGAAACCTAGCACTTGGGAGACTGAGACAAGAGGGTCTTGAGTTCAAGACTAGCTTAGACTACACAATGAGACACTGTCTCAAAAAAAAAAAAAAAAAACCAACCCACAAACTCCTTATAGGTCATCTGTTTCCTTGTCCTGGTTATTTACATTAATGGAGCAAGATAATAAAGTTCGTCTTTTTTCTCTCTAGATAACATTGGTTGTTCTCCTTGGCACACACCGTGATGAACACAGAGGTGGTCACTGTCACTCTTAGCTTATAAATGAGAAGCCGAAGCTCCATGAGGTTGGCTCATCTCGCCTTCCCTATGTTTCCCATGACTTAACCATTCTTATATGGTTTGTGTCAGAAACACATTGTATGTATGCGGGTCCTGCATCCCAGGCTGGCTTTGAACTCCGTATGTTGCTAAAGATGTTCTTGAACTTCTGAGCTTCTTGTTCCCATCTCCTGTGCACTGGGCCTCCATCTTCCAGAAGTGGCAGAGAGCCCCAGACTGACTAACCAGTCACTATGATGGTTTCCCAATTTGTGTTACTGAAAATCACACCTAAATAAGTGTGTGACACAGAGTCAAAGACTCACAGCTAGTCTGCTTCTAGTCTGGGAGAACACAAGCTTGTGGAACTCTCAGTCACCCTGCCCCCTCTTGGGAGAGACGGTGAGAAAGAGGCTGTCACCACAGACAATGAAATAAAAAGCAGAGATTTTAAGCTACAGAGTTGGGTGCCTGGATCCAGCTGTGTGTGAAGTCCTCACGCATGAAGACTTAGTCATCTAAGACACTAATGCTAATTAGAAATGCAACATTTACTGTAGCAAAATGAGAAAAGGGAGTTAGTACACTTTTAAAGATTACACTTTGTTTATTAGTCTGTTTATTTCTCATCTGAGACAGGCTCTCACTATGTAGACCAGGCTGGCCTGCAACTCACAGAGATCCTCCTGCCTCTTAATTGCTGGGATTAAAGGCCTGTATCATTATGTCCAGCTGAAACATTTTATGTGTCTGTATGATGTGTGTGTGTGTGTGTGTGTGTGTAAAACTGTGTAACTCCTGGAGCTGGAGTTACAGGTGAGTATCAGCCCCCAAGGTGAGTACTGGGAACTGGTCCCAGGTTCTCTGGAGGAACAGCAAGCTCTCTTACCTGCTAAGCCATCTCTGCAGTCCTGGATCATGACGTTTAATGTTAAGATGATAGATTTCCTAACTTGGGACATGAAAGCAATTATGAATTCACAGAGGTAGAGAATGGCAGACATATTTCTTCTAACTGGCCTTATTAGAAAGTCAGTAAGTTACTCCAAAATAGCTAGTGGACCTTTAACTTGTCATTAAAATTTTTTATTGGTCTGTGGAATAATAAAATAATTTTATTGGTTAGCTATAAACCACAGTGTAAAAACATTTAGGTATTTTGGAAAAGGAATAAAATTGTGGTCCTGTTATTTCTTAGCTTATTTTTGTCGGATCTGATTCTGGAGACAATTTAAGGAGATTCCTCGGCTCCTTTGATCTCAAGCTCAGCTTGGTGTCTCCAGGCCTAAGGCCTGGCTGGGGACAATCTAAGGGAAGTCAAAGAGGCCTCTTCCCTTGTCATGAGGGGAACAGGGAGCCAAGAAATAGTTTTATTTGTCTGTTCCCAGGACTGTGTGAAGAAGGCCAGCAGAGCAACAAGCCACAGCCCACCCTGAAGCTGCGCTCTGCAGGTGGTCAGGCCTCCGCCAACTCCAGCTGTACCCAGTCAAGGAGAAGCCTAGCTAGCTTGAGGGAAAGAGAAAAAGACCCCCCCCTCCCCGGAAGAGAAGGGGCGTGGCAAGGATGGAAAGGGGTGTGGTAAGGACCATTAATTACATGGATGCCAGGTGAAGGGAGGCCTTTCCAAATGGTGAAATTTTAACTTTTAGGAGGAGGGAGAGGACACGAGTTTGCTTAGGCATCTACCCAGTAAGGATCCTCGAGGCTTTTAGATTCAGACTTTTAGTCTGAATGAAGCCAGTGTTGCAGCTGCCCTGAAGCCACACTCCAGTTGGCAGAGGGCCACTGGCATGCAGGCTGTGTGCCAGGGACATAGTAGGACAGATCATGGAGGATGGTCCCCTCCACACAGGACTTCAGTTTCTCCAGGTCAGATGCCAGACTCGCCCAGAGGCAAGCTGCCCCACTTTGTAGAACCTTGTTTTGGGGATGGTTGGTCAGGTTCCCCTGGGTGTTCTGTTGCCATGGAAAAAGTGAGTTTTCCTGGCTCACTGCTGACCAGACTCTGTGGTTAGGATGCCGAGTTAGACTTGTAGTGTGGGGGAATGTGAGAGCACCCACCTGTAGGCATACATTTTTCCCAACCTACTTTAATAAGGGTTCAACCTCCCTTCTAGCCTACCATCCACCAGAGGTAGTGGAAGAGAACAGTAGACCTCTTCAGAAAGAGTTCTTTGGGGCGAGTCCACACTTTGTTGTCCAGATACCAGCAGTTCAGTCCTGTAGCAAACCCCAAATACAGGCCAGCAGCTTTGGCCCAGGACTCTCATCAGGAAGACACCACACACGACAAAAAGCTACAGGTCAACCCTGAAGAAACCACAAGGCTCGAGAACTGGCCTGAGTCAGAGTTGGGGCAAATCAAGCCAAAGCTCCAGCTCCCACTGTCTGTGAGGCCATATTCCTTCATCATGAGTCTTTTCACGTGTTTGCTATAGCAAAACATCCTTTTACCTGTGTCTGTTTCAGGAAAACATTCTTTCTCGTGTCTGCTTCAGTGAAACATCCTTTCACCTGTGTGCCCCAGCAAAACATCATTTGACACAATCGACTTTCCACAGAAACCAGAAGTTTTCATTCCACCCACGCCCTCACACACCAGGGACATACGTGTACCCTTGGATCCAAGAGATGCTGGAGACGAAGACGCTGCTCCCTGCTACGGGATCCTTGGGCTCATGACTCCTTTGACCTGGGTTACTTGTCTGTTCTTGGTAAGTCACCCAATGTCTTTTCATATCAGCCCAGATGATAGCACCTGCTCAGATAAATCTTCCTTAACCATCCTGCCTCCACAGGTCCCTGCTTCAGATCTCTGGGCTTCACATTTCAGATAAAAATTCTTATGTTTTTATGTAGTAAATTGTTTTAGTCTTTGTTGCTTTCTCCACATTTATCCAACTCCAAAAAAGGTAGAAACTGTGTCTTCTGGCTTGTCTCTCTCCCCACCATTCAAACAGGATGTGACGTATACATGAGGCTCATCTACCAGATGAACAAATAACACTAACTGTTCTACTACAATCTCTGGTCTTGTCAATCCATAGAACACTTTAAAAGACAGATTTATCTGTATGTGTATGGGTGGTTTTGCTGGTGTGTATGTCTGAACACCATGTGCATGTGGTATCCATGGAGACCAGATCATCTGGAACTGGAGTTATAGAGGACTGTGAGCCACCATGTGGATGCTAGGCACCAAACTCAAGTCCTCTGGAAGAGCAACAAGTGCTCTTTAGCCTGGGGCCGGATAGCCTACGAAGTAAGGGAGTTTGACTTAGGAGTCCAGTGGCTGGAGAGTCCTAACAACATAGCCTCTGCATCCTGGCAAAGGCCTGATGTCTGCTCCTATCATGGAGAAATGGGAAGGAATGAACCAGAAGCAGAGGGGCTAGACCATAGGGTGACCTGCTTGGCAGTGGTTCACTCAAGGCTAATTACTCCAGGAGACCAGCACTGATTTATTTGGAGGGCAGGGTCTCATGACCTAATTATCTTGCATTAGGCCCCACCCCCACAGTTTCCATCGCCCTGATGCCACCATCACCCTGGGGACAGAGGTTCCAGTGCACAGCTGTATACATTCAACTGTATAAAAACCACAGCTTTCCTTCAGGATACATGAGCCTGGGTATTCTGTATGAAGTTTCAGTTTAACCTTACTACTTTGGACTTACTTAGGATGGCCTTTTGGTTGCCCTGTAAGTCTTAGTGTTTCTGCCTCAGGGTCACAAGCAGAGGAGATCTGAACAAGAAGATGGAAGTCTCCAGAAGGTAGGAATGCCATAAGGTGTAGCTGGGAACCCCTCTGAGTTGGCCCCTTCAAGGCTGAGGCCACCTTCCCAGCTGGCTCCCTGTGGCCGCCTGTCTGTTCAGCTCTTTTGGCAGCAGCCATGGCCATCACCCAATCGGGTTCTGCCCAGCCCTCGGTGGGCTCTCCAACTCCACCTCAGAATTCCCGGGTCACAGCAATTATGACAATGTATTGCAGTATTCATGGGTCTTCCCTGCTATATGACCAACCTGAGACCATGGGCCATGTTTCCTTCCTCTCTGCATTCTCTGCATTCTTGTGAGCAGGGGCCCAATAAAGATCCCTAGCATGAAAGAAGTCTGTAGCCCTGCCAGCAAGCACTCTGTGTCCCCATTTTATAGACATCAGCTTGTCAAATGACTTAGTATGTGATATTCAGACAATCTAGAAATATGTGGCATACGTGACAGGTACAAGCATCACATGTCACTAGGCTGAGCTGTGCCCTTTCAAAGCTATGTCACTAGAAGAAGAGGCCCAAAGAGTCCAACCCGGGAATCTGCAAAGAAAGCATTAACCCTTTAGCCTGAGAAGAGACAGCTCTTAGTCGGGAGGGGATACATCTTTGCCTCTTTCTGGTCTCTGGTCTCAGATGGAGATGGCTCAAGGAAAGACGAAGAAAGAATGTGCTAATTCACTGAAGATCCACATCCTCACAGCTGATGTTTGTGAGGCCTGAGACGTGAGAGGGGACCTGCTCATCTGCAGGAGAAAGCTGGGTTCCTTAGTGGAACAGCTGTGGAAATACAGGCTGATCCCTAACAGCCAGCACTGGGCACAGAGGACTTGGGACAGTAACCCGACAATGCTATATGCTGTAGGCACAAGATGGAAGAGGACACAGTGTATTCAGAAACATCTAATTTGCTCAATGATGCCTTCAGGACCAGTGGGTTCAGCTAGGACTCTGAGAGCCCCAAACATTGCCCTCACAGGACACATTCCTAGTGCATGCCAGGCTACAGAGGTGCCATGTCTCCTACATACCCAGAAAACATTTGGGAAGGTATAAATTGTTGGCAGTGCTCACAGGCGAGGGGTGGGGAACTGGGCCCTTCAGGTTACATCCTCTCCTTACTAGAAATCGCTGGCCACTGTGGAAACAGTCCCAGGCAATTCTGTATCGCCTCAGCATTGCAGTCATTTGGACAGCTTCTTGCAGTGCCACGACATCACCAGCTCCATGGCTCCATTTGGAGACAAACAGGACAACTAGCCGGAACCTGTCTCCGCATGTAGTGACCCAAACCAGACTCCCAGAAAGAAGGTCTCCAGAACCCTGCTGCAGGCATGCATAGTGGCACCAGTTTCTGGAAGAGGCTCGGACTCCTTTAATGCTGGCCTAAGGAAAGCTTGATCCTGGGACAGACAGAAACACTCGGAACTGTTCTGTTTGTGCCTGTGTCTAAATATGTCCCAGGTAATAAAAGAGAAGTGTGACCATGGGGTTTGAGAGCAGGGACGGCCTCGCTGTGTGTGGCCCTGGGTGCTGGCTTCATGCAGGGCCCCTATGTCGCTTTGTTGCCGCGTCTTTCTTTCTGGATGTCCACGGCTGCTTTGCCCTGCTTCCCTGTCCTCGGCTGGGAGCTCTCTGCACCTGAGACGTGCTTTTCTTGAGTTGGAAGTCAACCTGCAAAGGTAAGGCAGAAGCTAAGCTCCTGTTCGGACTTTCCCCCCATTGCCCCGGGTTCTAATGGTGCTGCAGACTTGGTAATTGTTTCCCAAAACAGTGACACAGAATTAATCACTGGTGACAAGAAGTGTGTGGCAGCAGATGGACTAAATGTATGTTGTTTTTTAAAATTATATTTATTGTATATATGTAAGTACAGTGTCTTCATGCACACCAGGAAAGACATCAGATCCCATGACAGTTGTGGCCTCCATGTGGGTGCTGGGAATTGAATCATGACCTCTGGAAGAGCAGCCAGTGCTCTTAACTGCTGAGCCATCTCTCCAGTCCCATGTATATATTTTTTAAATACATGTATTAGCATAAAATTCTATTTACATTTCTAATCGCTTTTCCACTTACACCGTGCTCACGGCAAGAGCACTGACTGAAAGGTTAAAGGGACTTAATCTTTCCCCTGCTGCTGGCTGTGTGAGTCACCGTACACGCCAATGGGTGTCTCTTGACCTTCTGCCACCCGACATGGCAACAGAGATGACAGAGACTGTCTGGTTCAATTTTTTTCTTTTTCTGAGACAAGGTCTCACTACATAGCCCTGGCTATTTCCAGGTTGCTTTGTAGACCAGGTTGGCCTTGAACTCACAGAGATCCACCTACCTCTGTCTCCAGAGTGCTAGGATTAAAGGTGTGTGCCATCACATCCCCCTAAATTCTTAAAGCCTAAGATTTCAGGGGTATCTGTGTGGTCTTCCAAGGGCTGTGCACAACTCTCCTCCAGTCAGGGACCGCAAGTGGGATGATGTTGTGAACTGGGCGTGGCACACTGGGTGTGGAACCGTCATAAACAGCAAATGAGGAGGGAGTGATACCAAGTCCTAAGTACACTCCCCTGAGGTTTCCCTGGCAACCCTTCCCTGGAATAGCTTGAACCACGGAAGCATGGGGAGGTAAAAACACACTGCTGAGTTTCCTGCCTCTTCCATAAAAATCCATAGCCGGATTTTCTGCTATGTTCTGTAAAGGGAGGGGACAACTGTGGGAGACCATTTCCTACTTCCCAGTTAGGTAACACCTAAGCCTGGGAAAGAGACCAAAAGGAGGGGATGGGCAAGAGGGGTAAAGGGCAGAGGAACAACATCGGAGGGAGGTGGGGAAAGCAGAGAAAGCTGGAAGACAGTTTAATCCTTTTCATTGTAACAACAACAACAACAAACCCTTTACTAAACATTTTTTTTCTTCCCTCAAGCAAGTAGCTAACGGCTCTAAAATTAAAACGGAAGGGAAGTAGATGGTCGTGCAATCAATAAACAGACTGGTAGTTGTTACTGTCTTGGAATACTACATCCAAATGACAGATTGTGCCTCTGGGTTATACTGGACACAGTGAGTGGCTATGCTAGTTTATTTAAAGGATACGTGTGTGTGTGTGTGTGTGTGGGGGGGGGAGTGAGCTACTTCAAAACAGGCATACCTCAATATGCTGCGGAGCTGTTTACCTTTGGCAGTGAAGGGCTTGTCCACTGTACGGTAAGCACTATTTAAGCACTATTTACATATGAGGCTGCTGCTGAGCTTTTGATTTTAGGGTGGGATAGGAAGAAAGAGGAGTGACTGGCTGGAAAATAGGATTTTAAATAATGGAAGGATGCCTTCTCCTTCCCTAGTCGGTCACATAAAGCACTTGTCATACAAGACCTGAGTTTGAATCCCCGAAACTCCTTAAAGCAAGGCACCACAGGGGGTTTCTGTAATCCCAGTGACCCTCCATGGAGACTGGAGGCAGAGATGGAGAATCCCTGCCTGGCGGCTCTCAGGCCAGCGAGCCTAGAGCACACACAGGGTGCAGCAGCAGACAGCAAAGAGACACTGCCTCAAATAAGGTGGGAGGCAAGGACTGACACCTGAAATTGTCCTTTGACCGCCGTCATGGTAGGTCCATGCCCCATTCTCCCAACACACGTTCACATATCACACACACACACACACACACACACACACACACACACACACACGTACAGTGAGCCTGAGACCACAGGGCACAGTCAGCTTGCAGAGCGCCACCTAGTGGTGGTTCCAGTTTATGGCCTTGAGTAACAGCCAGTGCTGTCTGGGGGAATCACCAGGGCTTACTAACCAGCCTGTGTTACAACTCTATGGAGCTGTGCTTTGTCTTTGCAATCCTTGAGGAGGAAGTGTGCACTGGCTGGTTTTGTGTGTCAACTTGACATACGCAAGCAACAGAGAGGAAGGAGCCTCAGTTGAGAAAATACCTTCATGAGATCCAGCTGTAAGGAATTTTCTCCATTAGTGATCAATGGGGGAGGAGCCAGCCCATGGTGGGTGGTGCCATCCCTGGGCTGGTGGTCCTGGGTTCTATAAGACAGCAGGCTGAGCAGGCTAGTAAGTAGCACCCCTCCATGGCTTCTGCTTCAGTCCTGCCTCCAGGATCCTGCCCTGTTTAGTTCCTGTCTTGACTTCCTTGAATGATGAACCTTTTTCTCCCCAACTTGCTTTTTGGTCATGGTGTTTCATCACAGCGATAGAAAAGTGTTAGCACCAATTTACAGAGGAAGACACAGGATGAGAGAGACAGTGCCAAAGAGATGAGTCAGGAGATGTCGAGAGAGAACAACACAGCAATGGGTTGTTTAAGATGAAGCATGACATTTACAGATCAGGTTAAGGCTTACCAGTGTTGGTCCCGCAGGCCCCACTGTCACAGTCACTGTTTTGGGGTCGTACCCTGGTGCCTTAGCAGTGACAGAGTAAGTGCCCGGAAGCAGCAGCCGGAAATAATCCCCGTGTTCACCTAAATATCAGAAGGATGTAACTCAGTCAGCTGACTTCATACATACTTCAGACTGAACCTGCCAATCAAAGTTTGAGCTGGCCACCAGCCTTTTTTTTTTTTTTTTTCCCCTCCTAGTATGACAGCTAACCCATTCAGAAGAATGTTCTCCAGGAGGAGTCTCTCCTGGGAAGGCTTCACTCTGCTGTGTCTCACACAACAGTTCATTCTGTATACTGGGTCTAATACAGACTCATGCCCAGTAAAAAGTCACTAGGAAAGAGAAAAGGTGGAAATGTCTGTTAATATTTTGCCTGATAAGAAACAGCGAGCCCTCTGACATTTGAAAAGCCATTTAGAAGAAAAGAACACTTGAAGAAATAAAGATGAGTACCCTAGTCTCAATGTATGGAGGCAGACTTTGCCAGAGAGAAGCAGAAACTACTCTGATAAACAGCTGTCTTTTTTTGTTTGTTTGTTTGTTTGTTTGTTTTTTGTTTTTCGAGACAGGGTTTTTCTGTGTAAGCCTGGCTGTACTAGAACTCACTCTGTAGACCAGGCTGGCCTCGAACTCAGAAATCCGATAAACAGTTGTCAAAGGAAGAAAAGGAACTATTGTATAGATGAGTGGATACACAGGAGCTGAATCAAGACCCTGGAAAGCTACTTAGCTGAGCAGCACACAATCTGTACTAACAACCCCGGCAGCCAGGTTAGACATCCACCACCCAGGGGTGTTATACATGAAGAATCAGACGGAATGATCACTAACTGTCTGGCTTGAGAATCTTACTTTTCTCACCCCACCCCCATCTTCCCTCTTTTGAGACAACGGGGTCTCCTGTGACCCAAGCAAGCGCCAAAGTCATGACGTAGGCTGGCCCCTCAAACTCATGATCTTCCTACCTCAGCCTTCTGAGTGTTGGGATTACAAGGTATGCTACCATGCCAGCCTGAGAATATTTTTAAGACAGGGTCTTTCTCATACAGCCCCAAACTAGTTATTTTATCTGCAGATGGCCTCAAATGTACCATCTTTCTGCCTTCACCTCCCCAGTTCTGGGATAATATGGATTTCAAGCCTAATTTCTGCGGTGCTGGGACTGAGCCCGGGGCTTCCTGCACACTAGGTCAGCCCACTCTCAAAAGTCACATTTCCAGCCCTTACTGATTACAGTTTCTTCCATCACTTTCAGAAGAAAGTTAAAGAGAAAATAAAAATGAAAAGAAGCCTATTATTTTAGGGCAGGGTTGAAGAATTTTGGCTAACAATCCTTCATCCCTTGAGACTCAGTTGTGAGGGTGTCTAGAGAGATGGCTCAGCGGTTAAGAGCACTGGCTGCTCTTGCAGAGGATCTGGGTTTGGTTTCCAGCTCCCACATGGTGGCTCACAACTGTCCATAACTCCAGTTCTAGGGGTTCAGATGCCCCCTTCTGGCCTCCTTGGGTACTGCATGTACATGGTACAATTACATACATGAAGGTGAGACACCCATACACACAGACCAAAATATAAATAAAATCTTTAAAAATAGATAACCAAAAGCTGAGCATGTTGGACCCACCAGGGGAGTCAGGGGCTCAAGGCCAGTCTCAGTCAGACCCTACCTCAGAGAACAAACAAACAAACAAACAGGCAGTCTGGTTGGCTCAGTGGGTAAAGGCACTTGCCACAGAGCTGAGGGTCTGAGTTGAGTTCCTGGAACTCACACTCACTGTGGCTGATGTATGCTCATACAGATCCATGCCAAAATAAATAAATGAAAAGGTAATGAATACTAGAAATAAATAAATCCAGTAAGGAATGAGACTGGCAACCAGGTGTGACGGTGCACATCTTTAACACCAACACTTCACTTCTGAGGCTAAGGCTAGGATCTCTGTGAGTTCAAGGCTTGCCTGGTCCGAATTGTGAGTTCCAGGCCAGTCAGCACTACACAGTGAGAAATAAAACAAAGAATGACACAGGTAGTCATGAGGACATTTTTTTTTCTGATACTATTAAATGTTTGAAATTTATCTCCTTCCTTCCTTCCTTTTTTTTTTTTTTGTTTTGTTTTTGTTTTTCAAGACAGGGTTTCTCTGTATAGTCCTGGCTGTCCTGGAACTCAGTCTGTAGACCAGGCTGGCCTCGAACTCAGAAATCCGCCTGCCTCTGCCTCCCAAGTGCTGGGATTAAAGGCGTGCGCCACCACTGCCCAACCTTCCTTTCCTTTTTCTTTTTTTCTTTCTTACTTTTTTTGGACAGGATTTTAAGTATCTGGGCTCAACCTCATCATGTAGCCACTTGCCAGTCTTAGAAATTCCAGGGATGAGCTTGAGTGCTCTGGAATGCTTAGACGATAGGTGAGTGCTCCCGAATGCTCGGACGACAGGTGTGAGCCACCGTGCCAAACTGATTCAGTGATAGGATTGAGCCCAGAGCTCTCTGCACAGTAGGCAGGTAAGCGCTTTACCAAGCTACACCCCGAGCCCTGTAATTTACTTTCAAATACTTTAGCAATGCAGGGTGTTATTATGTACATATTGGACAGTTTAGGTTATATCCAGAAACTGTTATTGTCTTAATTGGAGGCTCTCGCTCAGGGGTGATTAGCAATTGTGTTACAAAGGTTCCATTTCTAGATGGTTCCTCAAAGAGGGCTTTGGCTGTCTCCACCTGTAACCAACACCAGGTGCTTCGTTAAGTAGCACAGTCAATGTCACTAGAGTCTAATCCTCATAATGGATCCCATAAAGGGGCCTAACCGTGGTATTCACTCTTAGTAGCTCTGACATTTCAGAGACCTTTCCCGCCCTTGCTTAAATGAGGAAGAACCAAGCCCAGCAGCCAGTGTTCTTGGGGATGGCACTGAAGTTTGACCCCTCCACGGTTCTGTGTGCAGCTGCTGGGCAGGCATATTCCCCATCCTGCCAGAGTGAGGTGATGGAATTCTTTTAAAACTCTGCCTTTTCCTTAAACAAGCCTGTCTCTGAGGGCACTGGGACCACCTCTAAGGACATGAAGCAGACACTTCTTCCAGCCTGGACAGATAGAGTGAGTTGTGAGATGCCTGCTTGGTAGCAAACAAGGTTGTTTTGGGAGGTGAGTAGCTACTGGCATCCATGAAAATCAAGACAGAGAAACTCCTAAGACTGGCAGGTGATCAATTCAGCTGGGACAGTCATCGAGGAGACAACAGGCATGCCTGTGAGGCTGACTAGCCAGGCACGCCTGAGAGGCTGAGGAGCCGAGCATACCTGTGAGATGTCCTGACCGTGTTAGCTGAGGTGAGAGAGCCTGCTATTGGGCACTATTGAATGACCACTCTCAGCTGGGATCCTGGTCTATGTAAGTGAAGAAAAGGCACTGGGTCCTAATATGCACATAGCTCTGTCTCCTGATTGTGGCGTGAGGTCGCTAGAAGCCTCAAGCTCCTGCCACCCTGACCCTCAACTATAATGGAGCTAAGAGCCGCAATGAGCCCTTTCTCCCCTAAGTTGTTTTTTTTATTTTTCAGAGTACTTTATCATAGCAACAGCAGAAGAAACCCAGCCAGTGCCCTTCCAGCATGTTCTGGGTAGCTCCAAGATTATCCACCTTGCCTCAGATCCAGCCTATAGGAGGAATCTATTAGCTTTGTCTGAATGGACAGGTGGGAAATGCCAGAGGCAGAGGAGAGGATAAGCGTGAGAGTCACAGAGTGACTATAATAGTGGCCTATTCCACTCCATTGTTACTAATGGTGTCTAGCCCAGAAATACTCCCAACCAGGCTGTCTCCACAGCGATCCGGGGGCTCTGACCAGGGGCTCCATTCGCTTCAAGGCTACTTGCTCCCTGCTGTCTGAGCCCGCTCACTCGAGAAGTGGAAGAATTTCCTCATCCACATTTTAGCTCCGTGACACGGCGCTTCCTTTCTGCTCCCATAATGGGCGCTCACCCTCCTCTCTGTGTCCATGATGGCTGCTCTTTCCACCTTACAAAATGGTCCCGAGTTCTACTGAAGGGGCAGAAACTTCCTTCCTACCTGAAGTGACATCGTGGTTGATGCCGGTGACGGAAATGACAGCCCCTGTGAGGTTGTTATAGTTCTCATCGAGTACCATTCCCTTGATGCCCTGGTGAACCTGCAGGAGAGAGCGGCCACTGAGCGTCAGAGTCACAGAGCAGGGGTACAGTGGAGGAGGCTCTGGCCTTTCTCCTTTCTCCCCGGTCCTCACAGTCCATGTTCATTAACACTGTGACGACATCCCATAAACTAGCTCTTCACTGCTCCTCCAACCCCACAATCCCTCCTCGGTGGACAGTGTGATCCTGTGACTCAGTCACATGACGCTGCCTTTCTTCTCAAAGCTCCTGTTTGACCGGCTTTGTAAGAGCACAGTCCCCATTAGCAGCCCAGCCTCAAATGTATGCATTTGGGTATTTTGCTTGCACGTGTGTCTTTGCACCATGTGCATGCCTGGTGCTGGGAGAGGCCAGCAGAGGGCCTCAGGAGTCCCCGGGACTAATGCCGTGAATGTTTGTGAGCCACCATGAGGGTACTGGGACTCAAACTCAGGTCTTCTGAAAGAGGAACCAGTACTCTCAACCGCTAAGCCATCTCTCCAGCTCCTGCTGATCTAACCTTGAATTTTGTTTTAATTAAGAAACTTTAGGGGCTGGAGAGATGGCTCAGCTGTTAAGAGCACTGACTGCTCTTCCAGAGGTTCAATTCCCAGCAACCACATGGTGGCTCACAACCATCCGTAATGGGATCTGATGCCTTCTTCTGGTGTGTCTGAAGACGGCTACAGTGTACTCAGTGCACTCACATACATAAAATAAATAAATCCTAAGATAGGAAGGAAGGAAGGAAGGAAGGAAGGAAGGAAGGAAGGAAGGAAGG